GGGGGGGTTGGGATAAGCCAAGTCATAAGGGCTGACTTGCTATAAGCCTTAAGCCTTTGACAAACAATTCAGAAACATGGAGGTGGCTGGAAAACAGAGTTTTGGCCACACCAAGACCCAGTGACATAACAGTGAGATCAACAAAAAAAAAACAAAAAAAAGCAGCACAGTGGCTTTATTGAGGCCCCAGTGCGAGACGCAACAATCAGCAGCATGTTTCCACTTTGTCCTTGCTCTCATTTGCAACAATGTTCTGCTTGACGTACATGCTGTGAACATACTCTATTCAACAGCCTGCTCTCCAGTGTCAGAGGTCCCTTTGCACTGCAAGACGGCACATGGAGGTCCAGTGGTGATGATGAGGGACCCTATTCATATGCAGACTGAGAGCAAACTGTTACTTTCGTGCTGCTTTCCACAGAGGTGCATATTGTGCCTTTTTTTACGCACTGTAAGCATTTCACTTGACCTATAAGGAACAAAATTGTTCCTCGTTGCTGCAGTTTTAAATAAGCCATTACACAGGAAATATGATGGAAATCAAACAGACTTAACCCTCATTTCCTGACTCAGATGAACTCTGAGTAAATATAGAATTATTTGTTAGATTTAGTTCTATACATAAAAACTTTTATCTGTTGGAAGTGGATTCTTGTAGGAAATGAAGCGACATCAGTAAGTCAGACAATCTTGGCATCAGATACAAAAGATCACTTGTTTTCCTTTCTTGAAGAGAGGTCTCTTCACTCACCTTCAGCTGAGACTTGGACACCTTCCCACTCTTCTCTAGATCCAGGGCAGTAAATCCATACCAAATGGACTTGAGAAGCTCAGAGCGCAGGTCCATTTCTGCAGAGCCGTTATTTTCTGATTTCCTCCTCTACGTGTCTGTCTTCTTCTTCCCTCTGCTGTTGACACGGGCCCCTGGGTGACAGGCAGAAAGGCACTTGGGTGCTGCAGCTGTGAGGCAAGCAGAGGGCCTTACAGACTGCTGGCAGTGACACCTGCTGGACGTCTACATGATGGAAAAGGGAGGGTGCTGACTTTCTCACTTATTGATAGACTTAAAAACTTACACCTAATAAAAATAGGTTCACAACAGGGACATTAGTATCTGAAATAAAATAAAAAAAATCTGAGCACTTAAAGGTAATGTAATACTTAGGAGGAGACATTTTAAAATTACGGTTGTTTGCTTTTATTACTACATTATTACACTTGTTATAGGTGTGTTTTAACAGAAACTACTTAAAAAGCTTAAATCTTTTATATTACTATAAGGTTTTAGTTGTTAAGCTGAAATTTGTTTATGTCTGTTATGATTTTTACAATCATGATTGTTTTGGTTGTGAGCAGGAGGACCAAGAGAAAACCCACATAGTTGGACCGAAAGATGCTGTAAGCAGAGAACAGCTACCATAGAAGGGAAGCAAGGAAGTGGAAGGAGACAAACTAATCAACACAATGTGTGGTGAACTGAGACAAAATAACCATATACTATAAACACAGAAATTTGCTGAATATAGAAAAAATATCAACCATTAGGAAACAACAAAATAAATACATTGTAGAGTTAGACAAACTTAAGTCATTTTGTATACACATAGTGTTTACAAAACAAAATGTACTTTTATACACTTTTCTGACAGTGAATGAGCAGCAGCTTAGCAGTGAAAAAGAACATTTCCATTCATAAAGTGCAGCAGTGATCAAAATGTAAACAGTGTGGTAGAAACATGGTGCAATAAGACATTGATATGGAAGGTTCAGAGCAGTGCAAAAAATGCAGAGAAACACTGATGTAGGAGCCTGAATTTACACTTTGTGATTTTCTTGGTATGCATTATGGTTAATGTTTTGTGTTTTTCTTGCTAAATTAACCTTTCTTGAAATTCTTGGTAATTCATACTAATTTGGGGAATTTGTATATTTAGCTATTGTGGTTATTTTGTTATTATTTTCATTACTTCTTTGGTTTAAGGATGTATACGTATCACTTTTTAAGGATGATGCATCATGGGAGTTTGGTTGTTGTGTATCTCACAGAGTGGAGCCAAATGGCTTTTTGACCTCTGTCGTCCTTATTTTTGTATGTATGTTTGGCACCCATTTATCCTATCTACTCACTAAAAGATTTTTAAATGCAATAACGTCTCCGTGGATTTTTTTGGAGGAATCATCTGGATAACTTGTCTTTGGAAATGTTAAGGATGCAGCGAGTCAGGCCGGCTTCACTGATTTTAGAACCCTACAACTGAGTTTGAGTTCTAATTTGAAGATTCAACATGTAGGACAAGTATGATGTTTTCAGTGTGACGCAGAGTCTCGATTTGTGACTTGATTAGAGTTTTCAGCAGTTCAACAGTCTTATGGCAGTGGGGAAAACGCCTTTACAGAACTGCATCAAATGCTGTGACGCCTCTTCTCAGAGGGCAGCAGGGAGAACAGTCCACGCCACGGTGGGGGTGTTAGGCATCACTGATGATGTTGTGGGCTTGGGACACGCAGTGCTGGGAAGTCAATGCCTAGTGCTTAGGGCATTGTGCTGGGTTCAAGCACAGACTGCCACTCTGGGTTCCTGGGTCCCCATGCTCAGGTATAAATAGAATTCACTTATTTGCCTCTCAGCCAGTAATCCTGTCCTCCACTGCCTAATGACTAAGCTAAGATAGCCCCTCATGGTCACTTGGCACTAACCGTATTTAAAAATTAGTGCTGCATATGTTATGTCATGAAATCAGGGTGAGTTACACTTTAAGTTTGATTGGGTTTTTGTGGGCTATATTTCAGTATGATATGTTTGTCACACAGTTTACAAGCTTCATTCCATGGCACTATACATAACATATATGCTTTTATTCTGTTCTGTCTTGTTTTTCTCTGCATTTATGCCCATCCACTTTCCCTATCTCCTGTGAAACAGATAGAACAGTAGCTCCACAGCATAATGCAGACACCACCGTGTGTGTGTGTGGGGTGTGTGTGTGTGTGTGTGTGTGTGTGTGTGTAGCGGGAAGTGTAATTTCTAAACTCTCCTGATACCTCATAGCCTTTTATTCCACATGTTTAGTTGCATTGTAGTAGACTTTGAACAAGCCTTTTCAACTTTCCACTTGCCACTCTTGCATTAATGCCAAATTTGTGGAAAGCCTGACTAAAACAGTTGTTCTCTTATCAGATTTTTCCATCTGAACCTCTTGACTCCTTAGAATGATTTTTGCTTTTTTGTTTGTCTTAAATGTATATAAGTTGTGATGGATGGTGAGGGCAGTCAGGCACAGGTTTGCGGCTAAAAAATAGGGCTCTTTCATTTAACACTGAAAGTGAAATATAACCTAGACAAGAATAACGGCAAATTAGACCAGAGAAGAAACACAAGGGGTAAAACATAAAAAAAAAAAAACCATTACCCCCTATAGCATTGACATGGGATGATCCAAATCAGCTCAGCCCCTTGGCCACCTGCTGGTTCATCAGCCAAAGGACTGGAGCAACTACGTCAGTATAAACCAAAATGTGTGCGCTGATTTTAGAATACAGCGTAACTGTAATGAATGATTTCCAAATAATGAAGTGGTCTGTAAATTAAATTTATATCAAATGTATATCAATTTATATCAAAAAGTTTCAAGGAGCCATGGCCCAAAGCCCAAAGGAATCAGCCATTTTGAATCAAAGCCATTAGCATTTTTCCTTCATGTTTTATCTAAGTGAACTCCTCCAAGAGCTTTTGAGCTGCAAATTTCTTACTGACTGAGCCAAGACTTAAGGACTTAGATATAAAAAGTTGTCAAAAGATTTTTGCAGCAACAAAGTATGTGGGCATGGACAAACTTAAAATTTGGACTTCTCACCACAAGACAAAAACAAAATAGCCCCAGGCCATGATTTTATTGAGGATTATGAAATTTGATGCACACGTATAACCCAACAGGATGCACAAAAAAGTCTCTTGAAGCCATGGTCCTAACCCCACAGGAAGTCAGCCATTTTGGGTCAAAGATGCCATTTTCTCTCATTGACTCAAGTTGTATCTTGCAAAGGTTCTACAACTTTATAGTTTCAGACTTCAAATTCAATTAAATATAATTCAGGCATAGGACATTAAAAGTTACCAAAATAATTTTTCTACATCAAAGCATGTGGGCATGGCCATGCATCAAAATCGGATCTTTTGCCATACATATCATGGTTTTGTTACATCAATAAGCGAGGACAAAGGAGTAAATTGGAAATCTAATGTTTCACTGTTGGAAGCCCTTGCTTTTGTCTGCATGCTCTATAGAATATGAATAATCTAGAACTCCTGCCAGGAACGTCAGATTTAGACCACATTGGTGTATGCCTGGGGATGGTGGTGCACGGGTCCCACAGTCGCGATAGACCAAGCTGCCCCGAGCTGCAAGGGTCGCTCAACTTCGGATTTAATTAAAATATATTGTTTGTTATTCATTTAGTTTATTCACACTGGATGGAGAAGCCAAACATTTTACTCAAATAAGAGTAGCGATACATTTTTAAAGAAAAAGCATTTTGCAGTAAAACTACTCCTAAAAGTACATTTTTTTTATTACTTAAGAAAATGTTACTGAGTAGTGTTTTTGTCAACTAGTAATCTTAATGCCTTAAATGTTATTTATTTTATTAAATAAACATATCTATCTTTCTATCTATCTATCTATCTATCTATCTATCTATCTATCTATCTATCTATCTATCTATCTATCTATCTATCTATCTATCTATCTATCTATCTATCTATCTATCTATCTATCTATCTATCTATCTATCTATCTATCTATCTATCTATCTATCTATCTATCTATCATGGGGAGGACGCGGCAAATAACCCGTCAGGTGGTAAAACAACCTCTGCGTCGTTACCATGGAGCTGTTTGTGCAGATCCGATGCTTATTGGTTGCCTTTGTTTGGTCGGCCTAATTCTCCACACTCATTGGTCGATTTGGGTCAAGTTTCTAACCAATGGCGAAGCGCGCTTTTTAAAAACTGCTTTAAACCCAGGAAGTCTCCATACATTTTTTTTCAGTGAGAACAACGACCAAAGGAGCTTTAAATCGGCACAAAAAGGTCTGGTAAGCCAAACGAAATTGGAATACGGTAGCAAACCGCATTTTAATGATTTTTTTCAATCGACTGGCAAGGATTTAATCTCTTCTAAAAATGTCTGCAATAAGAACAGTTAGCCACTCGGTCGATTGTAGCGTGTGCTTTAAACGTTAAGTCCTGTTATGTACATTAAAATAAACTTTGGGTTTAGACTTTTCCTTTGCGATCGCTTTGCTTAGCACCGTTTCTTAAACATTAGATCATAAGTACATACGTATTTCGATTAATATCGTTACGTTTGTTTGGCATTATCTACTTTTTAAATGTCTTGAGTAAGAATTTCTATGGTACATTGCTTTAGCATGTCCTATTTCCTTCATTTGTTGTCTTGACATTCTATTTCTTCCCCATTCAGCATCATGGACTCCTCTCCAATCCTTCGACAGCAAAGTCAAAGTAAAATCCTTAGTGATTTTCACAGGTAAGTGTGTCATAAATAGCACCTCCTCGTTTTGATCCAAATTTTTATGGATGAGCAGGAATGATCCATATTAGATGACTCTTGTGAAACATACTTCTCATTATGGTACATGTTGTTATCAGCATCATTCTCCTGTTATTTTTATGAATGACAGGATGATCCACACTAATAAATACAGGCTGATGAGAGATCATGGTAGAAAACCTGTTGGAGACTTAGAAAAAACAAATACTAAAGTGGAGATTTCCTTGTGAAATACTTCTGTCTAGACCTGTTGAGCTTTATATATTCTACAAAGAAGGCTTTGCAATATATAGCCTTAAAAATGTGGACTGATAAATGCCACAAAATACTTGTAGCTTTATTGCAGCAAATTATTAATTTACAATGTATTGACTAAAGGTACCTTTAGAATATGAACTTAAAAAACTGAACTGTGTAAAATTGTGGTTTCAACTAACAAAAGTGATTGCACCCCACAGAATGACGAATGAAGACAACATAGAAAAAGCAGAGCCAAAGCTTTCCAAAGTTATGTCTTCACTCCACCTTTCAAGCAAACATGGTGAGAACAAAAATCCTGCAGAATCTATACGAAAGCCACCTTTACAGCAAGTAGGGAGCCGGCTCCCCGTTCTGGCAAAGTCCCTTAAACTCCAGGTCCCCTCTGAGTTCAAGCAGTCCTACAATAAGTGGGAAGAGAAGCCGTTAGCTGTAAGTTTTACCTTGTGGATACAGTCAGTTTTTTTTATTGTTTTTGTTTGTGTACTAAAATTTTATAATTTTTTTCCCTCTTACAGGGTAAAACAAAAAAGCCATGTACCCGGCCTGTACCATTTAACCTCTCACAGCCCAAAAACACAAGAAAGGCACTTGGTAACTGTGAACCTTTGATGGCCTTTCAGTCAAGGGCTCGTACTAAAGAGCGTGAACACAGTGTATACAAAAAGCCCAATAATCATCCAGGTCTCGTTAAGAATGGCTCAGACTCGGCCAGAGGTTCTGGGAAACCCCATGCAAAGGCGACAAGTAATCCAGCTCACCTTTCAGGGAAGCTCAGACCCACATCCCAGACTTCAGCCCCTTCGAATAATCCCCTGTTCACTTCACGTAAAATGGGAAACAAGAATGCAAGCATCTCCTCTGCCCGAGCTGGTCTTCATCCAGAGATTGGCTCAAATCCACTTGGTGACAAAGAGACTGCATCACTGACAAAACAGGACACTAATTCCAAACCTTTAAATGGTGAGTTTCAATCTTTCTCCAGCCTACTGATATTTTCTTTTCTTAAGTGTTGTATCTAAGTTGATTTAAAGAGAATGATCTTTTTGTGTGTAAAATGGAGGTTCCATCCATGGTCTTTTAGGACCCCTGTAAGGTGTCCTCTCACAGTCACACATTTAATTGACTCGTTTAATGACCAAAAGCCTTCTGCAGTACTTTATGGCTGCTGAAGAGGCCATGTAATCAGTTTAAACAGGTGTGCTGAAACGGAGGTGCATCTCAATATGTAGGACTGTGGTACGTAAGGACCAGTTTGCAAATCAAATTGTAGATGACTGGATTTCCTGCTTTAAATAACATGTAGGGTTTTATTCTCCTGCCACTGCAATCAATAACGTAGGGAACAATTCTGGATTTGTGGTTTTTTTTTTTTATCGTTTGAATGGCTTATTTTATTTTGTATTTAATATGTTGTGTTAAATTACTGCTTTTATTTCAGAAGAAAGTGAGAACTTCCAGCAAGATCATGCGGCTTTGCTGAGCATCCTCCGGAATGAGGGCATAGACCACGTTAGTCAACCAGTCGCAACTTCGCAAAACTCCAAAAAATGCAATGATCGAGTGAGTTGGCTTTGATGTATTTTTTATGTATTTCAGTTTTCAGATTGGAGAAATGTTTAATAACACTGAATATCTTTGTCTGCAGCCTCAGCGAGTGTCCGTTATGAAGAGTCATCGAAAAGTCGGGGCCACAGCAGGTCTGCACTAAAGAACACAGCAATATTCAGACTTATAACCAATGAAATGTTTGTACTAACGGAGTGTCTTCTTATTGTCCAGCTTGCACGGAAACTAGTTTGAAGTTTAAAAGATAATTTTCTTGTGTGTGTAAATTATGGCTGAATGATGTTTGTCAAAAATCAAAATTAGGATTATTTTCAACCCATATTGCGATTTTTGTTTTGTTTTTCCTTCGCACTAACCACAAGCTTGTAGATTTTATACTACAGGTTTTAGTTTTTTCATGACATTGAAAGCTTGCTTGTCCAAAGCCCATAGTTGCAGAATCTTACTGCAATTTTTGTTGTGTTTAATTCTACTTACATGCATAGATCTGGCTGCTAGCTGGAAATTTGTCTTTCCTTTTTTTTTTTTTGCGGCAGCAAACCCGCATAAAACATTTCCACCATCTAAAGCCCTTGAGTGAGAAAAAATGTCTCTTATGGTTATTATTTGTAATGGGCCTTTGTGGTTTGATAATTGCATTTTTGTTAAATTGCGATTAGATCGCAAATATAATCGATTTCCCAGCCCTAGTCTAAATTAATCAGATAAGTTGTACTCTATAAGGAGTATTTGAAAATGTCATTTTGGCTATAATGCAAGCCTAAAAAGGGAAATTTCTCTCTTTCTCTGTAAAGCTGTTTGTTGCCAGCACTGATATCTCTCTCTTCATCAAATTGTAGAGGACTGGATTCCCTGCTTTATGTAACATGTAGGGTTTTATTCTCTCGCCACTGCAATCAATAAAGGAGAGCAAAATTCTAGATTCAGGTCTTTTTTGTATCCTTTGAGTGACTTCTTTTATTGTTTTGTTACCATTTAATATGTTGTTGTGTTAAATTACTGCTTTTATTTCAGAAGAAAGTGAGAACTTCCGGCAAGATCAGGCGGCTTTGCTGAGCATCCTCCGGAACGAAGGCATAGGCCACGTTAGTCAATCAGTCGTTACTCCGCAAAACTCCAAAAAATGCAGCGATCGGGTGAGTTGGTTATTATATATTTTTGTTGCTTTTTATGAATATGTGCTTTACGAGATGTATGTTTTTAGACCACAGAAATGTCAACTAACCCAAATTTGAATGAATCTCCTTGTCTGCAGCCTCAGCGAGTGTCCGTTATGAAGAGTCATCGAAAAGTCGGGGCCACAGCAGGTCTGCACTAAAGAACACACCAATATTCAGACTCATAACCAATGAAATGTTTGTACTAATGGAGTGTCTTGTTGTCCAGTTTGCACGGAAACTAGTTTGAAGTGTAAAAATATTAAAATATTTTTGTGTGTAAATTAGGGCTGAATGATTTTTGTCAAAGATCCAAATTGGGATTATTTTCAACCCACGTTGCGATTTTGTTTTTTCTTCGCACTAACCACAAGCTTGTAGACTTTATACTGCAGGTTTTAGTTTTTTCATGACATCGAAAGCTTGCTTGTCCAAATTCCATAGTTGCTGGATGTTACTGTAACCTTTGTTAAAGTGTTTAATTCTACTTGCATTCATAGATCTGGGGGCTAGCTGGAAATTTGTCTTTCCTTTTTTTTTGCGGCAGCAAACCCGCATTTAACATTTTCACATTCTAAAGCACTTGAGTGAGAAAAATGTCTCTTATTCTTGTTAATTGTAATGGGCCTTTGTGGTTTGAAAATTGTTTTTGTTAAATTGCGATTAGATTGCAAATATAACCGATTTCCCAGCCCTAGTCTAAATTAATCAGATAAGTTGTACTCTATAATTAGGTATTTGGAAATGTTGATATTTTGGCTGTACTATCACAAAAAGGGAAATTTCTCTCTTTCTCTATAAAAAAAAGCATTGATATCTCTCTCTTCATAGATCGCTAGTTTAAATAAAAAAGGGAACCCCCTTTTAGATTTAATTTTGTGTGTTACTAGATCTTACCTGGTTCATTAAAATTCATTGTGTAGTTTTCTTGGGTTTCATGTAGGTTCTAAAGATTTTTTTCCAACCTTGAAACAGCCAAAATATTTGCTGAGAGAAAAGAATACTTGGCATTTCTTTTGAGCATGATTGTACCTCCACCAAACTTGGGGTTAAGAAAACAATCTTGCTAAATAAAAAAACAGTCAAAAAAATTTTTTTTTAATGCAGAAATCAAAAGGATACATTTCAGTTTAGTAAATGCATATCTAAAGTGACCAGATTTAAAAGGGTTTGTGTGAAGTTCAGACTATGATGGTGGAAAAGTATATTCTGGGTTATTTTATCTTCTTAGTTTGTTTTTTTTTTTTTCTTTAAAATGTTTTTCCTCTTGTAAAACTCTGCTTTCCTTTCAGAAAAGAGTGAGAAAGTCCAACCACATCAGGCAGCTCTGAACGCCCTTCAGAACGAGGCCGTTGGCCGTGTCGATCAACCAGTCACTACTCCGAAAAACTCTGAAAAATACAGCGATCTGGTGATTGTTTCCATCATTTTGTTGTTGTTGTTGCCATCATATTTGTTTTTGATCTTAAAGAACTTGAAGTAACGCACATATTCATAAATCTTCTTATCTGCAGCCTCAACGAGTGTCTATCATGAAGAGTCAGCGAAAAGCCGGGGCCACAGCAGGTCTGCTACATTTGCTTACAGCTTTTTAAGTGAATTGCATTCTAGATATTCAAAGCAACATTTACAGATTGTGCCTTGTAGAAATCAGAGGCAAGTTGCAGATAGATGTGTGTTTAGTTAACCAGAGTTCTGGAGAACTTTAAATAACATGTAGGTGACTTCATGGGATGGCTCAGGGTCTCCCAACCTGTTGATCAGTAACTTCTAAAAAAAACTACCCGGAAGAGTAGCTGGAACTTGAACTAGCCCCAGTGAAACATGGTTACCTCTAGTAGCGCTCTTTGATGCTGGTTAATCTTGACCAGCTAAAAAGAAATGCAATAATTTTACTCAGCTTTGCGATTGCCTAAAATTGTCCAATCTTTGGACCATCAAACCATAAAGCAGTGATGAGGTATGAAAGCTTTACATGGCTCAACTGAGTAGGCATCTTGTTCATGTCTTTCACAGGTCCAGGAAGGGTAGTTCAGTTCTCACCAGACCCTCCTGCTCTGCGGAGCGTCCTGCAGAACGAAGGCGTTGAGGTCACTGCACCTCTGGGTGCCACACCTAGACTTTCAGTGTGTCCACCTGGCAGAGTGCCCTTCATCTACTCTGTATGTACACAATAAACCTCACTTTGCTCACCTTTAATCTAATAAATCTCATTTTTGTTAATTTTCCTGATTTATGTCTGGAAATGACTTTACGTAAATATTTTTTGGTGTTGTTTTTAGGCTCAGAGAGTGCCTCTTAAGAAGGGTTGCCCGAACTCAACCAGTCATGCAGTGGGTAAGATTTGTCTTTTAAAATGAACCTTGTATATCAGCCTGAACATCGTCATCCTGAGGAAATACATTTCTTTACCAAAGAGAGGGGAGTTTGATTGGATGGAGGCAGCATGGTGCAGTGCTGTCGAAAAACCTGTTGAAGACTGTGAAAGCCTTAACGCTTTTGTCGAGGAGTTCAGGGATCCTTAATATGCAGGCAGAGCTGCACTGGACAAGTTATTATCAAATAAAACTCTTAATGCAATTGAGAATCAAACACAGGACACAACAATTGATATTTAAAGGCTTTGTTAGTCCAATCTGTCTGAGCTTGAGTCATTTTGCTAAGAATAAATGCAGATTATTTCAGTTTGTAGATATGCAAAGCTGGTAGAAACTTACCTCTAATAATATGCAGGTTGTAGGGGAAGTTGGTTTTACCAAGCATTTATTCAGGAGCTCCAACTACAAATGCATGCCATACTTTTTAGATTGTATTAGCAAAATAACTTCAACATCCCTTTCCACACATATTTTTCACTCGGTGGTCAGATGCTTAAAATGCATTGAGGGCTGTGGTTTTAATGAGGTCCTGATAAGTTACACAACTGCCATGTCTTTCTCACAGGTCCAGGAAGGGTAGTTCAGTTCTCACCAGACCCTGCTGCTCTGCGAAGCATCCTGCAGAATGAAGGCGTGAAGGTCTCAGCTCCTGTAGGTGCCACGCCCAGAATTTCAGCGCATCCACCTGGCAGAGGGACCTCCATCTACTCTGTAAATGATAAACGTCCCGCTGTCCACCTTTAATCCTGTAATTTTGCTAATTTTCCTACTTTGTCTGGAAATGGCTTTTGGTTTGGTTTCTGTCTTGTTTTTAGGCTCAGAGAGTGCCTGTTAAAAAGGGTTACCCAGAGTCATACAGTCGTTCAGTGGGTAAGCTGCGGTATTGTTATCTTCAGCAATGTATGTTTTTTTTTTTTTTTTTTTTCTGCTCAGCCTGATGTGATGTGGCTGTTTTCTGTGTGTTTTTCTGCTGAACAGCGGCACAAAGAGGGGTGGCACAGAAGAAATGCTCTCAACAGATGGTTCACAACATCAAGCATCAGCCCATGTCTGCAACGGTGCGTACACGCCTCACATTTTCAGTCAATTCGGCTCTTCCTTTTGTTTTTTCCTGCCAGATTTGTCTCCCCTTGCTGTCTCTTTGGTTTTTAAAATTGGCATCATTCACCAAACACCTTTGGGTTGAAAAAGCCAGCTTTAAACACGTCAGGAGGCGGGCTATTCAATCTGATGTATGAAACCTTCCACAGCAGTCAGTTTTAGTAGATGTTGACACATTTAAAACGATAAACTAGGAAGGATAAGCTACTTCTTCTACTAAACTTTCTAGGCTTCAGAAACAAGTCAATGAACTAGATTTGTTTTTAAATGTCCTATAATTGTTTCACCAAAAGTCTCCATTCATTCATTTCAACCCATCTTACCTGAATCCTTTTCACATTTAAGCTTATGGTAGTATTTGCATTTTACCTTTTTAAAGGGTGGCATAATTTCATGTAATCACAAACAACCTCAGTAAATCAGTTAAAGGAATGACGTGGTTGAAGAAAAGGGCAGAGTTAGATTTTAATCCATTACTTAACTCTGAACCTATTATGCATGACAACATCAATGAGTGGGGCTCAGTTTGTTAAGCTGTTATTTTTATTTGTGTGTATATGTATGTATGTATGTGTATGTATATATATATATATATATACATTACACACACTCACTCACCGGGCCACTTTATTAGGTACACCTGTCCAACTGCTCGTTAACACTTAATTTCTAAGCAGCTAATCACATGGCGGCAACTCAGTGCATTTAGGCATGTAGACATGGTCAAGACAGTCTCCTGCAGTTCAAACAGAGTATCAGTATGGGGAAGAAAGGTGATTTGAGTGACTTTGAACGTAGCATGATTGTTGGTGCCAGAAGGGCTGGTCTGAGTATTTCAGAAACTGCTGATCTACTGGGATTTTCACGCACAACCATCTCTAGGGTTTACAGAGAATGGTCCGTAAAAGAAAAAACATCCAGTGAGCGGCAGTTCTGTGGGCGGAAATGCCTTGTTGATGCCAGAGGTCAGAGGAGAATGGCCAGACTGGTTCGAGCTGATAGAAGGGCAACAGTGACTAAAATAACCACCCGTTACAACCAAGGTGGGCAGAAGAGCATCTCTGAACGCACAGTATGTCGAACTTTGAGGCAGATGGGCTACAGCAGCAGAAGACCACACCGGGTGCCACTCCTTTCAGCTAAGAACAGGAAACTGAGGCTACAATTTGCACAAGCTCATCGAAATTGGACAATAGAAGATTGGAAAAACGTTGCCTGGTCTGATGAGTCTCGATTTCTGCTGCGACATTCCGATGGTAGGGTCAGAATTTAGCGTCTACAACATGAAAGCATGGATCCATCCTGCCTTGTGTCAACGGTTCAGGCTGGTGGTGGTGGTGTCATGGTTACTAGCATGGGGTACCTAATAAAGTGGCCGGCGAGTGTATATTCCAAACGTGAAGAAATCCTGGTTTGCCCTAATGTAGACCAGTCTTTATTCCTCCCATCTGAACAGGGATCATTTGTCTCCCTTCATAAATCTTGGTTCTTACATTAAATGTGGAATTACTACTTTTTTTTTACATGGTTTGACATTCGGTGAGATCTTGCCTTTTGTATCAGCCTCTAATGCAGCTAAAACCTTTCTGATCAGGTTGTCTATATTGGGTTAGTCCGATTGCTCTAAACTAAAAAAAAAATGTTTTTTTCTGATGTGGAAACATTCAACTGTAGTAGAATTAATGTAGTAGTGTTGATGTTGACTGTCTTGCTTTTAGAAAAAAAAATAGTGAATGAGGAGCTGATCCCACTGTGTTTTTTTTTTTGTTCTGTTTTTTTTTTTTTTTTTTTTTGGCAGGTTGTCCAGAGGTTATTTGTTGATGCAGAGGATGAACAGGGCAAAGCTGGGACGGATGAAAATCCCTCAATAGAAATCGAGCAGATCCCAGCTCCATCCTCGCCTGTATGTGATTCATTCCATTCACAGTTGCCGTTTTATGTGCAAATCTTAGAGTGAGAGTTTTGATTCATTTCTCTGAACTTCTTCAGTCTGAGCCTCTCTGTGAGGGAAAGGCCGAGAGGTGTAACCAAGATGACTGCGAGGAAGAGGAGGAGGAGGAGGAGGAGGAGCTCAAGACCTTCCTCCAGGCACCACATAGGAAATCTGTCATCATTTTCTCAACTGGTAAAAAGTTGATCAGAGCCTCACAGTTTGAGAATCAGGAAGGTTCAGACCAACCTGCCCCAGCTCCATCATCACTGGCAAAGTTAACGACTGCAACTGGTGACCTGTCAGAGCTGCCTCATCAGATCCACTCTACTGTTCAGTGTCTGCACAAAGGTTCCCCAGACACTTCAGTTCCCTCTGAAATATAACACCCCGTCGTATGTTTTTCTAACACATTTTCCCCTCTGTGATAGGCGTCTTCAATAAGCCTTGTTCTTTGAGTCCGGCGGTGGCCATGTTACGGAAACGTCTCCCTCATATAGCGGAGCTGCGTCTGGATCAGGAGGTTGAAACCTACACCTCCGCATCTGTCCCTGCTGTCTCTCCTCTGCCTCGCTGTGGGAACCCGCTGGCCTCTGTGTTCCACCTTAAGGACTCCATGGTGAATATATGAAGGAATACAAAAAACATTCAGATGGAAACAAGTGTGATAATGTTTTTTGAAAGGAAGATGATTAGACCAAAAGCAGAAATGATTCACGCCAATTCACAACACGTCATCTCAAGGCACTTTACAGTTCATCACATCGTACAGTCAAATTGATTCAAAGTTTTCTAAGGAAAACCATTTGATCGCATCGACTCATTTAACTTGATGTGTCCAACTGTATTTAATAAAACAGACCTCCTTTATGGATTGTCATTGGGTTACATCATTCCTGTGGTCATTCAAGTTATTGCAGGTAGAGCCATACCTTGATATAAATATGATTCCTTGTTTGCTTTGTGTGTATCAAAAAAGGAGTGTTTTTGTTGTTGTTTTTTTATGCAGCATTTAGGCCAGTTCATGCTCTGCTGTGAAATGTTCACAGTAACCTGCAGGTCATTCCCCTAGGATGCTACCAGAACTTAACCTGACAACAGCCAGATGTATGTCTCACTCCGCCTATCTCCGCTCACATACATCTGGGAACCCGCCATAGGAATTGCCTTTACTGAAGGCTGGGCCTTATCAAAACTCCTTGCATATGATTGGATAAGCCACTTGTCTGTCATCTTTATTGACGTGCTATTTCAACCACTCACACCGAAGCTAACCCGTGACGCTGTGAGAGGAGGAGCCATTTGGTAGATCAAGCTCTTGCCAAATCCGGTCGGGAGAAGGGCGAAAACATCGTTTCCACCAACAAAAGCCTTCAAAGCCGTTCTCTGATGTTCTTTTAATGAAACAATATCAGATAGATTGGACAACACAGAAGAAATAGCAGCATCAATGCTAACGCTTGCTTCCTCAATGCGAGCCGCCATTGTTGTTGGAATCTCACGGTCGCTTCTCCACTCCAGGACACACCCGCCCTGCGTCCTCATTGGACAGACCATAAATTCGGTTGGGGAAATCACTTTCAATGAGCGGGTTCCCCAGATGTATGTGAGTGGAGCTGGGCGGAGCGAGACATACATCTGGCTGTCAGGTTAACCAGAACTACCTCCTCTGCAAAAATGAATTAGGCCCCTGAGATTCCAATAAAATGGGCTCCCTCCTCTCCATGCGTCTAGTTTCACAGTCCTTAGATCCACAAATCAATGGTGTACCGAACAGTCTAATTCCCATAACTCCATTAGCAAATCTTAAGATGGAAATTAGTTACATTTTTTTCTCAACAGGGTGCAAGAGAAAGATCTTTTAGGTGTCTGAAAAATGACTTAATTCTTCTTATTACTGGACAACCAGATGGTCAAGACTGGGTCTGCTAAACTGGAAAAAACAAAACAAAAGCAGGTTTATGGTTAGTTGTGAATCCTAAAAATGTATTTGGCACCTATAAACGTTTAAGTATTATTACACTTAATTGTGATTACTAAAGGTTTGAGGCCTTTGGAGAAGTTTCTTTGGGGGGGATTAAGTGTTTTAGTGTATCCCTTCTGGATGCTGTTTGGCACAGGTGGGTCCTGCTGGATTTGGCAGATTATTTATTAAACGTATAATCTGTTTGAATCAAAATATGCACCAAAGTTTATCACAGGTGTTTAATTTCGTTTTCTGTATTTTCTTTTGTATGATTAGTTGTTAAACGAAAGCTGGTGTTCACCTTTTCCTAGACTATTTAATTACGATTTCATACACTTCTTTAGATGCTAAACTGCACTGTGCAGCAACCCTCAAACAAAATATTAAGCTTTAGCTTAAAGGGAACAAAAGCCTTTATACTCTGGGTGGTTTAAAAAAAAAAAAAATAATGTCAATGTTTTGTTTTTCAGAGATTTATCCCAATCGACTTGGATCTCTCTTCTGGTCCATCGTTGTTCAGTTCCTCGCAGCATGAGAGATAATTTGCACGCAAAGAACACTGGAAGAAAGTAAAACCTCACCTCTAGAGTAATTAAAGTCTGAAGATGTTTTTTATAGTTATGTTGAATTTGCATAATAAAAATAAGGGTGTATATTTTACATTTGGGGCATGTGTGATTTTTATTTCAGCCGTTTTTTTTCATGTCTTATTGGCCTCAACTGTTTTCTAAAAATATAGTTTATATGGCAGAAAACTTTGACCAAAACTAGGATAAAAATCCCTTTTTAAGTGAAATTTTCCTCTTTCTGTTGGCTTAAGATTATTAAATTATGGTTTATTAAATGGTTAAAACACTTTTATAAAATCTTATTTAAAGAAACGCATCCATCTCCTGCGGTTGGTTCAGGTTTAACCGTTTGATTCAGGAAGGTGTTAATTGCAGTACAGTTCCCATGATGGCAACACTTCAAAGTTTAGAGACGAATGGGTGCTCATGCTTGTGAAAATCTTTAGCTTCCTTTCAGCTTAATTCATTATTCTCTATGGTAATGTTTCCCAACCTTTTTTGACTTGTTTACCCCTTTGGGCATTGTCTCACTAGGAGTCCCCCCTCAGTCAAAAGTATTGATTGTCCAAAATTGGAACGTATACTAACTAATTATAAAATAAAAAATATTTTACTTGATCTTTTAATTTGAGCACTTAATTATTAGGCACTTAATGCTTTCCATTTAAAAAAAAAAAACAAATATGTTGCCTGAAAGTTGGTAAAGAATCAAACAATACAAAATAACTTCATTTTTAACCTTGTATTTTTAAAACTGGAGCTTCTCTGAGTAACTTTCTAATAATCACATTTAAACTTGATAAATTGGAAACAAATTACAGAACAAAAATTATAGTCTTAGTAGCTTCATTAGTTTTACTTAGTTTTTTTTTTTAATCAAAGCTCAGGGGGAAAATCAGCTGATCTCAGGCTGTTCTCTACATCCAGTCTGTTCCTCTGCTTGGTTTGCAAGTGTGTCAAAGTTAAAGGTGAACTCAAACATAAAAGAAAATCTTACTTTTTGGATGATCAAAGCTTGTTTAAGTTTTCAATTTGGCCCCCACAAAGACAACGGATTATTTTACTACCTAAGAAATAAAATATTTTCATGTACCCCTTGTCAAATGCACTGAAGGAACCCTAGGGGTCCGCGAACCCCCAGTTGTTAATCAGTGGTCTATGGCAGGCATCCCCAACCTCGATCCTCGAGGCCCACTGTCCTGCAGGTTTTAGAGGTTTCCTTGCTCAAGCACAGCTGATTTTAATTTTAAGCTGATTAACTGTCTTTTAGTCTACTGCAATTATAATCAGCTGTGATAAAGCAGGGAAACCTCTAAAACCAACAGGACAGCAGGCCTCGAGGACCGAGGTTGGGGATGCCTGGTCTATGGGACCAAATATTCTTACTAAGAAATACTCCACTTGGTTTGGAAAATAAGTAGGAACTGAGCGGAGTTTTTTTAAATTGGGGGAAAAGTTTTTGCCAAGACTAGGGATTTCTAATATGAAATCACTGACAGAAGCGAGGCTGTCGTACACTGGCGCCACCATCAGTGTAAAAGTAGGTAAAGAATAAAATGGAAAGGGTTTAAAATGAAGAGTCAAGGCAACTCCTAACAAACAGGTTTTAAACATTGATTTTAAAGGGATGCAGGGCTCTAGCATTGTGCAGTTTGTTTCAGATATATGAAGCATAAAACCAGAGTACTGCTTCTCAATGATTGACTCTGAAACAAAACACATTTTACATTTACACAGATCCAGGTTGTTATTTTCCCATCATAAAGAAAATAAACTTGTAGCTCTTTTAACCTTTTGAAGGCCTTTATTTTAGACAATCTTGTTCAACAACAAATATGATCTCAAAGCCTCCTACAGGACAAAAGGGCCCATGTAGATTCTGATTTGGATATTGTTCCGTTGATTCCTCGACTATCTGAGCTGATGTAACCAATACATTTCTCCACTGTGAGATCAATAAAGTCAATCAACTTATCATTCTCGTTCTGCACGCAGAAACTGTGACAGTAGAGATGAGCCAGTCCCTCTCAGACCAACCAGTGTAAGCAAGAACCTAGTGGTTTGGGTGACAGGACAATACATAAAGTTATCAGTAGCATCATTAATGGCTCCTAAAGCGAACACCCCGCCTTTGTTATTTATTGCCTCTCAGACTTGTGGTCAATTTAAATTCTTGCTTTTACAACCACTTTAACAAAACATCTTGCTTTTGCTTTGTACTGGTTCCTTTAGCTCACTCAGTTTTATGTTTGTAGTATTGTATTCTATTTTTTAAAGGAAATTCAATAATAAATGATCGATAAAGTAGACATTGACCCTGATCTAATGCAACCTTGTAGACACAGCTAGTATTAGTCACATGGAATAAACAGCGGTTCTAGAGGAAATTTACCTCTGGAGCCAGTGTTATTTCATATGGGGCTGGAGTTTAAAGTTCACTGTAGTTTCTAATTCACTGTTAAACTGAATCATAAATGGATAAATTGGTCCAGCTTTTATTATCTTAAGATTTAGTATTACACTGCAACAACTGATTCACATAATACAAAAAATCTTAAAATAGGTGCCTTTAACTTTGAGTAGGTAAAAAAGATGATCTGTCAAAGGAATGAGTATTTTTATTCTTTAAATAAAATAACCAGATATGATGCACTTGGGAAAAAAGGTAAAGGAGTTGTTGCATCCCCTGGCTGGGTCTAGGAGATATCTGGGACCAATATAAATTAATACAGTGAATTGGGAGTCAAAATGGCATTTAAAGAGGTTTATTCTACTATCTTTTTAAAGCAAGTTTCTGTAAAGAGTGGTCGAAGCTTCAAGGAGTGCTCAGGCCAAAATAATAAATACAGCAACAATAAATGTAAAAGAAAAATTGACTTACATAACTAAAACTAAAATATACAAGCCTACAAATAACCTACCTTGCAAACACATAAACAAGAGAAACTGGGGTTAAATAAGAATGCAGTTCTCCCTACAGAAAGCAACATCTGAACAGAGTTATATGGTAGCAAATTAACAGTCCATTAAACAGAAAAAACAACCACAGAGGTGTAAAGCTGGCAAATGGCCCAGAGGCCTGCAAAGAGCAGCATCACAGGTTTAAATAGTGTTCAGGTGATTGATGATTGGACCGGAGACTTAGCAAGCAGCACCCAATCTTAAACGCAGAGTTTTAAACAGAACAAGGTATTATTTGGGTGCAAAAACAGAACAAAGGTATGTCCATCTTGGGGATGTTACCAGGGAGTATTATTTTATTTTATTTTTTTCTTAGTTTAACAAATCATCTTATTCAATTGCAAGTTGTCTTACCAATATACTCAAATAAAGGGTGAAAAAAACTCACCTAATTAAAAATAAATTCACTTTTTTGTTATTTTTGCCGCTTATCTTTCCAGTCCACAGGGTCATAAAAAGGACCAGGACCTATTCTACAGGGACACTAGCCCTTGTTTGCCCCTGTCTAGAATGACCCATTATCATAATCAATACATTTGTCATGCTATTTGTAATTAGTAAATACTAAAATAATTTGTGTGTGTGTAAATAGACAGCAAACATCTTTAAATGTTTTAACACAGCATTTTAAAAAGTCACAACGCTTTCATTTAAGAGAATACCTAAAGATTAACTCAAGCAGGTATTGATTTTAAATCACCTACCTATCTTTAAATGTTTTCCCAGCATGCACATAGTCTAATTGTCCATGAATTTAAGAAAGTTTTTTCTTTTTTAGAAAGCTGTATGAGACAACTATTAAATTGCTAAACGGTTGGCCATACACCGGCAAACCATGGGGTGGAAGTGACGTAGCTGCAAAGCTGGCCCTCCATTGGCTGGAGTTTTAATGCGCATAATCCAAGCGTGAGCTAAAGAAAAACTAAGGTAAGCCAAAGAGATAAAAACTGTATGCAAGGAAAATATTTAAAATTTAACGTCGTACTTTTGTTGGTAAAACAGCAGAGAAAGTGTAGTGGGCTGGTAGTGGATGGTTTAACAGGAAGAGTTAAGAGTTTATACAAAAAATCGGTATCTGAGTAGAGCAGGCATCCCCAACCTCGGTCCTCGAGGGCCGCTGTCCTGAAGGTTTTAGAGGTTTCCCTGCTTTAGCACAGCTGATTATAATGATCGCAGTAGACCAAAAGTCTGTTAATCAGCTTTCAATTAAAATCAGCTGTGCTGGAGCAAGGAAATCTCTAAAACCTGCAGGACAGCGGCCCTCGAGGACCGAGGTTGTAGATGCCTGGAGTAGAGGATAAACGTGCAGATGAATGTAATCGGCTTTTTTCAACATTAAAACAGTTATTGATACAAGACCCTCTCTGACTGCTCTGACTTCTTCCATCAGTTTAAATAGCAACATCTGAAGACCATCGAGGTTTGTAGAAACAAAATCCAGAAGAAAACCCCTCGATCCTCTTTGTCTGAAAGGCTTTTGTTTAGCCGTTCATTACTGGGATCATTTTATCTTAGCTTCTTAGGGTAACTTCATTGAGTCGTGATGGTTTCTATATTTGCAGTTTATCTGTTCCAGTTTAGGTCTGCTTTTGGAAATTATAAAAACCAGAACCTCTTCTCTGTACTAAATCATCCTGAGTGTTTTTTTATTCTTACAAGTAAAACTGTAAAATAATTCTAACTTGGTGTGAGTTCATTGTCAGTTTTTGTTAATGGTATTACTTCATCTCTTTATTTAAAATTATAATTTAATAATTGGGAGTGTTGGCCTAGTGGTTAGAGCAGTGCACTTGTGCTCTAAGAAGGTTGCAAGTCCCCTCAGCCTGCACCCTGGGTCCCTGAGCAAGACCCTTAACCCCACACTGCTCCCTGGGCGCCACACAATGGCAGCCCACTGCTCCCCAAGGGGATGGGTTAAATGCAGAGGTAAGTTTCTCCAATGTGAGATCAATAAAGTTAAAATTTTTTTATCAAAATCTACATATTTTAAAAAAATCCACTTAACTCTCTCTCTCTCTCGCCTCTAGTGGCATGAATACATAAGGCATCCCATGAGTTATATAAAGCACTTTTGTGTTTTCTTGTCTTTTTGTTTTGTTTTAACCTTTTTTATTCTCACTTTTAAATCAAGTCCTTCACCATATCAGTGTTTTGAATATTTCAACGGAAACAGACTGCTTTGATGCACTGTGCATCCAATAGTGAGCCACACCTGTGAGATATTTAACCATATTTCCTACTATAACGCTGGAGGAAAACAATATTTGTCCAGTAAAATGTACTTTTTCTGCTCATAATGCCAGAAATCGTTGTAGACTTTTAATACAAAGAGGGTAAAGATTATTGGAAGTGATGGGGCATCGTTGGTGATAACAAAGAAACTAATAGAAGAGTGAGGCAATAAAGAGGTAATTAATCTCCTTCAACACTGTAACATTAAATAGTATCACGATGGCATATTTTCATGCGTTCTGTGACCATTTTAAACCAAGATGTTATAAGATGTTTTTTTTTTTTTTAAGTCCAAGCTATGCTTTTATTTTTATGTTTGGAATAACTGCTTTGTCATCTGCTATCTCTACCAAACATTATTATTAGGTGGAGATTTTTACAGGATAATGAGACTAATCCCACCAGCCCAGGCTACCATGTATGCACCTGCAGTAACCTTGTCACATAATTTTGTAGACATCATTATTAGGGCTAGGTAAAAAAATCCATTTAATCTATTTTGAATCGATCGATTCCTTTACATTTTTTGCAAAATCAATGTCTAGGGAATGAGATCGATTAGTTTTATAGTGACGCACATGACATTCACATTCAAATGAGCAGGAAAGATGCACTCAAGATTACTTCAAGCCAGACAGCTGCAAATATACGGTAGCCAATAGGTTTTTAACATTAACAAACTGCGGCTGACCAGCAAAAACCCTGTAGTTGTTACAGACAACGCTGCAAATATGGTTTCTGCAGTGGAGATAATGCAGCTCATGTATGTCTGCTGTTTCCCGCTGTGTCACGTCTGCTTGCTTGAGTGAGGCTTCACTTTTTCACTTTTCACAAACAAGTTTGCACTTATGAGACAGTTTTGTTTACATCTTGAGTTTAAACTGTCTGATTTACAAGTTTGCACTTTGTGTTTAATGTGACAGGAAAAAAAAATAAAATACATAAGTATTTTGAAACATAGTTGAACCACTTTCATTATTGTAAAAACAGTTCGAATCGAAATTAATCTATTTAGAACTGTATGAATCAAAATCGAATCGATTCAGGACTTTGGCGAAAATATGCCCTAATCATTGTCATTCCAGTCAAAGACTACATTTCATTGGGGAAATCTTTCAATCTGGAGTTTGATCCCGTGTTCTTTTCACCACATCGACATGCAATAGAAGGATACTTCTATTAGCTGGAGATGGCTATAGTGTAAAGTGTGTTGTGCTGTCACTTTGACCAGAAAAACCAATGGATAAATTCATCTAATTTGTGTCAGAGAGATGAAATTATCATCGTTGTTGTCAAACTTGCTTGATAGCAATGTTCATTTCATTGCGGGTCTTGAGAGTAAAATTGAGGCTCAAAAGAACAGGTTTGAACTTTTTGGAGCACTTGGGGATCTCAAATGTCTTTTAACCTTGGTCAGAATATGTAAAAGCGGAGTCATCTATAATAATATTTACTAATATACTAGCTAATCTAAGTGAAACTAGAAATGAATCCAAATAGAAACAAAACTTACTTGGCATTTTTTCATTAATATGCTTTTTAAACACATTTTTTATAGATCCTTCAGTTGAAATTCGTACTTTTTTTTTATTTTTATTTTTTTAGCCATTGTATATTTAATAGAGAAAAAATTTGGATGTCATCTTTCTGCTCTTGAGATTAGTCACATGTCCACATAACTGTATTAATTGGAATTGTCTCATCATGAGATTGATTACTGTCCGGTGTGTTTTTTTTTGCCTGTGTGTAACTGTCCTCTGTGGTCTCTGGCCCTGCTTATATTTAGTTTGGCTGTATGTGTAAGTGGTGACGGTTTCAGAGAGGGGGGGGGCAAGAATAGTAACAGTATTCGGTAAAGCCTGAGCCGTCGCTCGTGACTCTCCTGACAAGCAGAAAGTATAAGAACATCTAGTCACTTATTTCTGCTCATCATTTCCACCCTTCGCCTAGGACACTCATCTTCGGTGAAACATGTCCAAAGACCTCCATTCAACTATGGATCCAACCAAGATGGGCATTGGAAGGTCCATAGCCGTGCTGACATCAGGAGGAGACGCTCAAGGTGAGGAGAATTAAAAAAGGATATTTTTATATGTGCACGTTTAATATGAGGAAAAAAAAAACAACTAGTTAAAAAAACATCTTTCTTTCTGCTGTCGGGCCTGAATCCCAGTCGTCTCTCAAAAGTTTTATTTTTGAGGCCAATAAAGGTATTATGACTGCAAATCTTAAGATATAAAGTGTATTTTTTAAGATATTAAGGTCCTATTAATGACGGCCGAATTAATAAACGCATATCTCTGGGAATTACTGCATCCTAATTGATCATTTGTCAATTTTATTTTATCTAATATATTTATATGAAATTATATGAAATTTAAATATTTGTCCATTGAAATTAGAAGCCGTTATGGTTTAATTTCTATTTTATTTTACAATTGAAATTTGCATATCAAAGTTGGCATTATACCCAACTCAAGTATGTGATGTTTTAATGTCCTTGTATTCCTGGATTGTGTTTCTCACCAGCCATCAATCTTTTTGTGCCTTTTTTTAAGCCCTCATCACTTTCCTTATTTTTCACCCCTTTGGGGCTAATTTTAGTGGTGTTGACCTTTTTCTGGTATGGAGAAAAGAAACGCCCACTGATCCTTCAGCTGCTGTCTGCTGAAACAAGAGCTACCACATGCCACATTGCTTGTCACAACACAAACTCCCACAGAGGCTTGTAGTGTTCCAGTATCAAGGGGACAGAAGCTCATGACTTGGAATCCACCAAACCCAGATCTTTTTTCCACATGGCTATTTTTGTCTCATGTTGTGCCAAGGTGAAGGTTAACTCACTTAAAGGTCAAGATCAGGCTAAGACTTTTTTTATCTGACCATGAACTTGAGGGAGAATCGTTGCTGAGAATCATTGTGTTTGAATGAAACTCCCATTGTAGTTGAAAATGTTTGTGGCCATCAGGTATGAACGCTGCAGTGAGAGCCACAGTCAGAGTGGGTATCTATACCGGAGCCAAAGTCTTCTTTGTACATGAGGTAGGCGCTACCTCATTACGATATATCAAGTAAATACTAGGATATGTGTATTCTGAGAAAGATAATCATTTCCATGCAATGCAGGGTTACCAAGGCCTAGTGGATGGAGGCGATCACATCCGGCCGGCCACATGGGAGAGCGTTTCTATGATGCTTCAGCTGGTGAGTGCAGTTCACTCACTTTACAAACAATCGCGGTTTGTCATTTTGGAAGTAGAAAGAGCAGAAAATGTGTCATCCTAAAGGATCGGGTCACAAAATTTTAATAAGTTGAACATATTGTCTTAAAAACGCTAGACTTGGATAAGAATGGAAAAACAAAATAAAGTATGGTCAAAATATGTATTAATAGGCTGTATGTAAGATATCTAACATTATATGAATGAAGCTGGCTCAAAACTGGAGAGCTCCTTAATATTTTTTTTTTGAACATGTTGAGGTTGCTGTTTGTTTTTTTTATTCGATCTTGACATTTATTCATATATACAATTATTTGCAGTTTTTATTTGTTTCATAAGTCTGTCTACCATCCATCCATCCATCCATCCATCCATCCATCCATCCATCCATCCATCCATCCATCCATCCATCCATCCATCCATCCATCCATCCATCCATCCATCCATCCATCCATCCATCCATCCATCCATCCATCCATCCATCCATCGTCTCATGTTTTGGAAATAACATATCTTAAGATCCATCATCATGTTACTAATTTGCAAAAGATTAATCTAAAGAAAGCAGGCTCTTGAGGGCCCGTATCCTGCAACTTTTAGCTGTGCCTTTGGTTCAACACACCTGAATCTAGTAATTAGATGATTGAGAGGACTCTGGAGGAACTAAATACATACTGAGGATGTAACTCAGGCATTTAATTCAGGTGTGCTGAACCACAGATGGATTTAATAGTTGCAGGATACCGGCCCCTGGGAGCTGGAATTGCCCACCGCTGCTCTAATTAATTAATTAGAGGTTGAACAATACATTGGCTGGCTGATATTTTGGTCTATTTTTAGTGTTTTATTGTTGTTTGTATATTGGTCAACATGTGAATGGGTTTGCCGATTCACTAATGCGTTCAGCAGCCGTGCCTTGAGATCACATGAAGCACATACATTGCTGCTCCTTTCATTTGCTGTCCGTTGTCAATGTTTTGATTCATTACCTCCACCAAGGAGCTATGTATTTAGTTGAGTGTGTATTGGCCTGTTCCTCTGTTTACAGGATAACTTGAAAGGTTATGAATAGTTTTTAATGAAATTTAGTTGTGCCTCAGTTCAAGGAACTTTCCATTAAATGTTGGTGAGGATCAACATCATAATCTGGATACAGGAATTTTGCAAAGGATAATTCATTATTTGGAGGAAAAAGTTAAACAGAGAGTGGCAGCAGTGTTTATTGACAGCTTCAGGATCAGTCTAAAAAAGTCCAGAAGTATTATACCAAAGACAGAAACATAGGAAAGGTGAGCCATGTTTGCTTGAAGTCACAATCTGCTGATTGAACCAGAAAGCAAGTGGAGAGTGAATGAAGAAGTTGAGAGCAGAACAAGCACCAGAGGCTTCAGACACATGCTTTGCCTTATTTTTAAATTTATGAAAGGATTTTAAAGAAATTCTTCCCAAAGGTGTGCCTCATGTCAAGGAACAATTTATAAAAATTTGGTATTGATCCAGATCTTGTGCAAGTTTTAGCTATAGGTGTAAGTCACAATATGGCGCAACATTTGCTGCTTGGCAGAGGTCTGCGCTCTAAAAGTGCTTCTCTAGTTTGTTCTTATAGGTTTTAGTTTTGTTTAAATTGAGAATTGGGTATCATTATCATTGTCATCACATAAATGGAGGAAGAAAATCTATAAAAAAAAATCACTCCCCAAAAAATTGTCAGCGTGTACCTGGATCAATTAGACTGATGTCAGAATAATTGACGTCGGACTTTAAAAACAACTGTATCGGCTCAACTTTAATCTTGATGCATGGTCCAATGTAGGAGATAAATCCGCGAGAACGTTACTCATGAAGCAGCCCAGTTATCTGAAGTGACATTTTAAATGTTCCAGCTGGAACACAGAGACTTTGAACTTGATACTGATTTTGCCATTTGATTGAAGGATTGCAAAGATGCTGTAAGTCTGACGCTCATAAGAAGGCCTGGTGTGAATGAGCTGTTGAGTGGATGTGACATTGTACCTTTTAAAATATCCTCCTCATTTTCCTTCAGTCCTCACCACTGGGTTTGAATTAGGGCTCTTTGTAAATGTCAGAGTTTTAGTCAGAATAAAGCAGCTTCTCTCTGTCCCAGGGTGGCACCGTCATCGGCAGCGCTCGTTGCAAAGACTTCAGGAGCAGGGAGGGCCGTATGAAGGCAGCCTGTAACCTAGTGAAGCTCGGAATCACCAACCTGTGTGTGATTGGAGGTGACGGCAGTCTGACCGGAGCCAACCAGTTTAGGACGGAGTGGAGCAGCTTGTTGGCCGACCTGGTCAGCGCTGGTAAATAAAGAAATAAGACCTTATATTTTCCTTCTTATTAAAGGTTCTGATCCAAGTTATTAACTGTTCAGATTCATAATATTGAGAAACACACATTTAGTCTGTTTAAACAGGATTTCTTCCTTTCTTTGCTGCAGGGAAGATTACACAAGAAGAAGCCAAGAAATCATCCCACTTGAACATCGTCGGCATGGTTGGCTCAATCGACAACGACTTCTGTGGCACTGACATGACCATTGGCACTGACTCTGCCCTCCACCGCATCATCGAGGTGGTGGACGCCATCACTACAACAGCACAGAGGTCAGACAGGCTTTTACAACTTTTCTTTATCAAACACATAGAAACAGAAAACCAAATAGAAACCTGAGGGAGTCAAATTTATGAATGTCAATTGATACAATATTTGAAATATTGCTTGTATTTTATTTTTGTTGTCACACTTAATTCTTGAAATCCTTTAACAAATGAGCCAAGAAACAGTTTTTGTCCAATAATGGAATAAAACTATTCAATGATAAATGAACAATGATAGAAGTCTCTAAATCTAATAGTTGTTCTACTCATTGTGATTTTAATAACCAACAAACAGTGACCATGATCCTCATGAGGGAAGTTGGATTCCTCCTTAAGGTCACACTACAGCAATCCAATCACATTTAAGTCCAGACTTTGACTAGGCCACATGTTTTTTTTTCCTTTTTGTTACTTTTGTTGAGTCATTCATTAATGGGCTTGCTGGTATGCTATGGATCATTGCCCTGCTGCATAACCTGATGATAAACATTCTCCTTCAGGTCCAGAAGCAGGAAATTAGCACCCAGCCACATGTTTGATTCTTTCTCTTGAATAATGTGTTGGTTTTGCGCCAGATAAGAGTAACATTATAAAATGTCAATACCCATCATGCCCCCATCAACCTGGGTATGATGGGTTTCTATGAATTAACAGTGTTAGTTCAAGGCCTCACTGGTGTGCTTTACCCTCTATTTAGGGGTAGAGTATCCAAAAAATTGTACTCAAGAAAGAGTAGTACTACTTTAACATTTTTTTACTCAGGGAAAAATAAAAAAAGAATTTGGTAAAAAGGCCACTTGAGTACTGAGTAATTATTGGATACTGACATCAGATTTAATGTTTAGAAATGATGCTGGCAAACAGACTTTATGTGCAAGTTGTTGTGTGTTTTGTTCCCTAAAGAATATAAATGAATGTCATGAATATACAAGAACAAATTAGTGCAGAAGAAGAGTTCAAATTACTCACAGAGAACAGAGTAGTCAGATTTTACTCTAATAGGAATAGCTATAATTTCAAACAATATTACTCAAGTAAAAGTAAGAAGTACGGCACAGTAAACTTACTGCTTAAAGTACATTATTTTCAAATGTTACTCAAGTAAATGTAACTAATTAATACCCACCTCTGGAAATCACTATATGCAAACTGCCTTTTTCGCATTTCGTTTTATTTTCTTTATCTGATATTTGCATGTATTTGGGGGATCTGGAAGATCAAAACTTGATGGAAAGTAAAGACAGAATGAATCTTGTATAGGCTAATTGTTTTCCCCATCATTTTTAATAAATGCTTAATATTTTATTTTTTTTGTCCTGTTTTATATAAATGTTTTGTCTTTATTTGCAGCCATCAGAGGACATTTATCCTGGAAGTGATGGGCAGACACTGCGGGTCAGTTCTTTGTGCTTTCTTTGTGCATCTCTGCATGTGATCCTAAAACCTTGAATTAAACTGCTTTTATAATTTCATTTGCAATGTTCTTGTGTTTATTGAAATAAAAGTCAGTATAAATTATGGAAGAAAGATTTGTGCGATAAAACCATCAGTCACTCTTTTTCTGTTATGAAAGTCTTCTTCTAGTCATTAAAAGCATGTTTCTAAATTAAATTAAAAAAGATTCTGTCATTTTAACAAAAGACAGATTTCTGTAAAAAAATGAAGACTAGATTTTCAAATTATTCAGTCTTATAGTTTATCGTTTGCCTTAGTCAGGCATATCAGACTTTCTTTGATTGTTTTGGTCTGTGTCTGGCTGCAGATACCTGGCCCTGGCCTCCGCTCTGGCCTGCGGGGCCGACTGGGTTTTCATTCCAGAGATGCCACCAGATGAAGGCTGGGAGAACCACCTCTGCAGGAGGCTGACGGACGTAAGTAAGCCTTTTTTTATTTGTTGATGACATCATAACATGTCAACATGACAGCCCCTGACATCCTTTATTTCTTTATGCTGCAGCTACAAACGTAACTTTGACGCATATATTTAAACAAGGCATGAGTTTGTAAGAGAGTTCATTTCAATAGAAGGTGGTTAGAAGAACCAACCACTTTTTGCTGATATAACCTTGTTTTGTTCAGATTTTCAACATTGTTCCTGATTTGCGAAATATTTTCTATCCTGTTAAGGACTGGACTTTAACTAGGCCTTTCTAACACATTCATATGATTTGATCTATTTAATTATTTTTATGCTGGAAGGTGAACACTTAATTGGTTTGTCAGGGTTGTCTTCACATTAGCTCTGACCTGCAAATAGTCCCTGCTGCAGAAAAACATCCCTATAGCATTATGCTGCCATTGACATGCTTTACATTGGGAATAGTGTGTAGAGGGTGATATGGGGTATTATTTTTCAGTTGCAGTTTGCATCCAAAATTGAACTCATTTCACCAAAGAGCTTTCCCTGTATGTTTGCTGTGTTTGCTACATGGCTTATGGCAAATAGGCCTTTCAATGGCTTTCTTTCAAAACTGGCTTCCTTATTGCCACTATTCCATAAAGAGCATTTCAGTGGACTCCAGGAAAAAATCATGCTGTCAATAAGTTTCCTCAGCTTGTCAGTTTTTTTTTCATTTGTGTTGGTCAATCACATTAAATTACAACAACTACATGAATGTAGTAATTGTAAAAATATTACAATATGTCCATGCAAGCCTAAAAGATATTTTTGTCATTTTAAAATAATCTATATATTTTAGCAAAGGGCTCGAGGTTCTCGTCTGAATGTGATCATTGTTGCGGAGGGTGCGATCGCCAGAGACGGCCAACTAATCACATCCGATCAAATAAAAAAGGTAAAGCTCTTTTCTCTCACCTCTGACTGTATCTATAGGAAAACTTAAAAAGTTGCATTTTCATATGTTCTCAGTTGGTGACCGACAGGCTTGGCTTTGATACCCGAACCACCATCCTCGGACACGTCCAGAGAGGGGGAACGCCATCTGCTTTCGACAGGATCCTGGTGACTGCCTCAGATAAGCTTTGAGCCGCCTTACTTGTTCCCACACAAAGTGCTGATCTGAGCGTCTGTGCATCCCTCAGGGCAGCAGGATGGGTGTGGAGGCGGTGATGGCCCTGCTGGAGGCCACACCGGACACTCCCGCCTGTGTGGTCAGTCTGTCTGGAAACCAGGCAGTGAGACTGCCCCTAATGGAGTGTGTCCAGGTGGTATGTATCAGTATTCTTGCTGCTTTTGCAGTAGAAGGATGTATTTTCTCAGCTCTCCTTTCTTCCTGCTCTTTACCTTGTAGACTAAAGATGTGACTGCTGCCATGGGTTCTGGAAAATTTGATGAAGCTCTCAAGCTCAGGGGAAAGTATGTCTCTCATATCCTAGAAAATAAGCTTGTTCTATAAATGACGAAAATAAAAACTTAATAGGATTGGGGGGGGGATACTTCGTAGCTGCATAATGAGCTGTTGAGTTTCTCTGCATATTTAGACTCTGATGATTTAAGTAATTCTACCAGAAATCAAGAACAAACTCTGACTGCTATAAAAAAAAAAAATCTAAATTTAAAGTAGTGATTATTTACTTTGAGTTTAGCTGATAATGTCACTTTTTTAAGCCCTAATTGTCTTGCAGGAGTTTCGAAAACAACTGGAACACTTACAAGCTGCTGGCACACATAAATCCTCCAGATGTGAAGGTCTGCATACATCACTCTCTTTATTTTGCACCAGACCAAAACAATCAAAATGATCTATGATATTCTGGCTCCACACTGACACCTGGGCTGCTTCTCTCCTAATGGCAGAGCAACATCAACGTGGCCGTTATGAATATCGGGGCTCCCTGTGCGGGCATGAACGCTGCGGTCCGTGCAGCAGTGAAGATGGGCATCATCCAAGGCCACTCCATGTTTGCTGTCCATGATGGTTTTGATGGTCTGGCTCATGGACAGGTAGCTGTTTAATACCTGTGTTATAGATGGGGGGGGGGGGGGGGGGGGACAATAAACCTAATTTATAAAGCAATTTTATACAGCCAATGGTGAGTGGTTTTGAAAGGTTATACATATGACATTACACCACTAGAAAACATTTCATTAGGATGATCAGGGATTGAAAGGGAGAGATTATTCAGTCAGTTACAAAGGAGGAGGAACTGTAGAAATACAATCATCTAAAATATTAAGGAAACAGTGGAGTTAAATACAGAATTATACAGTCATGCCCAAAAATATTCATACACCAGCAGGTTTAAAGAAATTGTTTTGTTTTTTGTTTTATTTTAACACCCTGTTTCTTGTGATTTAAGAACATTTTGGGGTTGCCCAGCCAGAGTCCAGATTTAAATTGGATCAGTGAGTCTGTGGATGGTACAATGGCACGGAGGCCTTAAAGCCTCAGAGGCTTAGAGAGGAACAGCAAGGGCAGAAATTGAAAAATACAAATGCAAAGAAGCAAAGAAGAATTGATTCATTTAACTTTTATTGTCATTTAAGACATCCTCATCTCCTGTCCTATTCCCCTGTATTAATAACCTTTGGCGTAATTGTATTACCTTACCAAGAGTTTTGATTGATCTATCTATCTTAGGTCTCATACCCATCTATTAGAGCAGGGTCATGGGTGATGGTGTCTACCAGTTATTAGGAAGAAAGAAAGGTTGCCTCTTCATAGCAAGGCAACACAGAAACCCACAATTTAGAATAGCCAGTAACTTTATAGTTATGTGTCTAGACTCCAGTGCTGTTTTTATAGCTACTTGTCCTTTTATTTTGCGCTCAGTTAAATACTTTAAAATTCAATGTTTCAAGAAAGAGTGTTACTGGAGGGCAGAACAAAACCTTAACCATTTTGTTGCATTAGTATTTGCATAAAAAAATCATCAAAAAAAAAAAAATCAAGGCCAATGTAATTCCTACAAAAAACAACCAATATGGTTTAAGAAAAAAAATATTTAAAAAACTTAACCTTCAGAACATAAATGCAGATACAATAACCTGTTTTTTTTTCTTTTTTTTTTTTTTTTTTTTTTTTTTTTTTTTTTTTTTTTTTTTTACTTCTAACTAACTTCCTAACTTTTTTTTATTAATTTTTTTTTTCATTTTTACTCAGCTTACTAAAGGTATAGTGGAGGATGTTCTTTTTTCCGGGTGGATCATCAAAATAAGTGGTCCTAATTGTCAATCTTTCTGGCGATATGTTTACATAAGGCCGTCCTACATGCTGGTCCCAATTTTCACTTACCGGTGGTGAGTCTGATGTAACCTGCATAAAATAAGAACCCGTATTTTATTTTGGCGGGTCAAATTGATAGCACCCTTTAAGTTCCGGGTCACAGGTGACTCAGATCTGAATAGCTGTTGCTGCTGTCGCTGTGGCTAGCTGCTCGTCTCGGCGTCTTCTAAACTAATAGAAGAATACGGCTGGATCAAGGCTTATTAAGACGGCCGAAGGATTTAACTGAGTGTTTTCTGTCGACCGCTCGACGGTGAGTCGTTTAATTTACGTATTTTGTTTTTCTTTAGAAATAGAAATGCGGTGGCGACACGCCCACTAAATCTGTGCATTAATGACTGAAAAGTTTATTTATTGATTTAAAAGGTCATTTTCTTTTGTTAATTTTGTGGCCGAATAGATTATATATTGTTAAAATATTAAATAGGCCTTTTGATTTTTGTAGATTCGTCCTTTTAGGGCAGTTTTAGTTACTTTTTATTAAATTTTGCTAAAAGCCTACAGAACTCTGGGCTTAGACATATTTTTTTTTTGTGAGGAATAAGAGGAAAAAAACAATTCTTTTTTTGAAATGATATGGAAGTCAATTAAGTTTAATTGACTGCGTCAATTAAACTTAGATGGAATTTAAAAAGTGCACTTTACTTTGATCTGTACCGGTAACTTTACTTTGATCTGTACCGGTAACTTTACTTTGATTTGTACTAGTAACTTTACTTTGATTTGTACTAGTAACTTTAATCTGATCGCGATCTTTAATTTAAATTCATGAGAAACACTTATTGAAATGAAGTTATTTATTTATGTTGTAATTGTTGAATGTTTATTTATTTTGAATAACATTTGAACAATGTTTAAATATGATAGCTAATTTGTATTTTTATTTATGACCTTGTTTAGGTCAGGTTTTTTTCACCCCCTGTGTCACGTCAAGATGGCGAGCTACCGGATCACCGCAGCTTCGCGGTAGGATTTACATGAACCAAGTTACTTTCTCATTCTGAACTTATTTGCTTTGGGTTATGGACAAGAAAAACCCTACAACAATCAGACATTGATTGATGAACCGTTGAATCACTCTAGATTCATGAATGGACTAAAAAGGAAACTCTTGGGTGACATAAGGATTTATTGTTTTGTTGATGTGTTTGTTTGTTTTTGTTTCTTGTCGTATTTTTGGTTATATCATAAAAGAAGTCACTGTTGTTATAAATATTATTAATATTGCATACCTTTATATATATATATTTGAAAAAGACTCAAACTTGAATATAATAATTGAAACATACTTCGGTCTAATGGTATTTTGTTCACACCCACGGGCTCCATAGGCGAACCTATCTGAGTGCCTATTATAACTGGCTGCAGTCAGGCGCCTAGCCTTAAATAAGCGTTACACTGACATAGTGGAAAAATTGCAAATCTTCTTTTGGAAAGTAAGCTTGTATGAACAATGCAAACAGCAACTTTTAAAAATAGCGCGCATGAGCAGAAATGGGCTTGTGCATGCTCTTGCACACGTTTAATAGGCGTCCCCTCTCGGCTGCGGGTACAGGGTTGTGCACGTGCATTTTTTTTTTTTTTTTTTTAAGTGGAGAGGACGGGTCTTTTCAAAAGTTTAAATTATTACCTTTTTAAAAAAAACTTAATTTACAGTAGGTAGAGTAGCACAAACATACGGGAACATTGGATTACTGGTAGTATTCTATGAAACAGTTCCACTCAGCTTTAAAACAGGGGTGGACACTGCAGACCTTTAACCTCACGATTCTTCCCAAAGGGGTGTTTATATCCAAGTTACCAAAACGATAACTTGGATGATAAACAATCATGTTTAACAACTGGTCAGTAGGAAAATGTCATAAATTAGGAAAAGCATTAGCATTGGAAATCTAGATGTTTGAAGATTTATTGCAGTCATGATGTGGATGTATCTTATTTATAACTTAGAGACAAAAAAATATTCCATTCATACTTTATTCTGCTTTGCATACATGACAGTAGTTGTACTCCTAACAAAGTCTTTTTCACCTTGATTTCACTTAATGTCTTGTAGTTTTTAATCATAAAAAAACAAAATATATTTCAATTATTTTGCGTTTTGAATATTTGTTTATTTTTTTTTATGGAATTTCTAGAAGCTGCTTTGAATATTTGTGTTTTAAACATTTTAATGTGGTCATCCTGTCTGACTGCAGATCGAGCCCATAAACTGGACCGGGGTAAGTGGCTGGACTGGAAAAGGAGGCTCTATACTGGGAACCAAGAGGTGAAAGAGATCTGCTTGATATTTCTGTGACTCTTTTATCTACGTTTGTAGTTCTTTAGCCGAACATGTGTTTGTTTCCTTAAAGAACCCTTCCAGGAAAACACTTGGAGAAAATCAGCGAGAACATAGCCAAGTTCAACATCCACGCTCTGATTATTATTGGTGGATTTGAGGTAAAGCTTTGTAGATCTATCAGTCTTTTAGGGGGTGGGGGTGTATTTTTAAAATTGTAAGACTAGACACTTTTGTCCTCATGTCTGTAGGACCTGTAAAAATAAACTTTCTTTGCCACAGGCCTATGTTGGAGGACTGGAGCTGGTTCAGGCCAGAGAGAAATATGAGGAGATGTGCATACCTATGGTGGTGATCCCTGCAACTGTCTCCAACAACGTCCCTGGCTCCGACTTTAGCATTGGCGCCGACACAGCCCTGAACACCATCACCTCCGTCAGTAGTGAAACAGCAAAAATTAACAACCAAACATGGATATTCTAAAGTCCTGAAACATTCCTGGTTTGTTTTCTGTGCAGACCTGTGACAGAATCAAGCAGTCTGCAGCCGGAACGAAGAGGCGCGTTTTTATTGTCGAGACGATGGGCGGATACTGTGGATACCTGGCAACCATGGCGGGATTGGCTGCCGGGGCTGATGCTGCCTACATCTATGAGGAGAAATTCAATATTAAAGACCTAGAGGTTCGCTTAGAGCCGTCAGGGAACAGATTTTGCAGTATGAGATATACCAGCTTCTAGATAATTATTTTATGCTTTTGAAAATTTCACCACAGGCAAACGTAGAGCATCTTGTTGAGAAGATGAAGACAACGGTGAAGAGAGGCTTGATTCTCAGGTTTGTTTAATTCAACTGCAGGTCAGAAGGGAAAGCCTAACCTGAATACATGAGCAACTAAAACCATTTAACTCTTCTCCTGGGACACATGCATCAGCAAAACAGAGCATTATCAATTGAACGTGTTATTTAGGGCAACTAATAAGGGATTGACCTTAAAACATCTGGATTATCTACAAAAAGTCATCTAACCTAGGAGATCCGCTTTAATGTTTTTTACAGGAATTACATTTAATGGAGTACTACAGAAGAAAATATTTGCATTGTTTTCTATTTTTTTTTTTTTTTTTTTTTTACATTTTCCTTATAAAAAATCTGAGAATTTGTGTTTTGCATTCAAATACTTATTAGACCTTGTGTTAATACTTGGTAGATCCCCTTTTACGGTGCGTTCACATCGAAGGCGGTGGCAATGCAGAGTGCTGTGGATTCCTATGCTCTTGCTATCCTCATGCTAGTAGATAGAGCTGAGATGTTGTCAAACAGCAGCACTGCACGGAGAGAGGGGAGCAGTGATCACTAGAGTTGAAATGAGCTGAACTTTTCTTTGAAATCGTGTTTTTATCAGCGATTTAGGGAAGTGCTTAGAGCAGAAAATTTTTTTTTACACTGTTATCAAATACAACCTGCTCATATCAAAAAAATTTTTATCATTTAACTTTTTATTGGTGCTTTTAATTTTTTTTATTTTACCTTTGTCCCTACCTTTCTAGCTTATCTTGTTCTTTATCTTTGTCGCTGTCTTTTGTCCTGAGTGTTGACCATTTCCTCCTCTTTTCTTTCATTTGAGTTTGTTGAACTCTTAGACGATGTGTCAGTTTTTCCACGACGTAGATTTCTTCTATTATTCCAGACCATTGTTCTTGACAAGGGGGGTCTGCCTGTCCCCATTCCCTCGTAATTGCTTTTTTGGTAGCTAATAATAATATCTTAATCAGATACATGTCTTTTACCATTGCTTTGATATTCTTCAAATTGCAAAGATATGGTTCCACACTACTCATAGGAATATCATATTCCAGAATCTTCTTCACAGTTTCATTTACATTTTTCCAAAATTGACAGTTCCAAAATATGTGAGAGTAGTCGGCATTCATTGATCCACAATTCCGCCAGGGTACAAACAACACCCCGTGTTTGTACCCTTATATTTATTTTTGACTTTAGGCATGATGAAATACTCATATCAAATTTAATGTGCAACTGAGTGGGATGATTTAAAAACTGGAACAAAATATGCAGGTAATATGTCTGCATAAAAAAATAAATCCAAAAAACTATTCCCTAAAAAAAACAGTGTAATTTGGCAGTAGGGATGTAAACATGGAATGAGTCTGTTTGTAGCAGCTCCAGTTATACAGCTGCTGGGAGAAGGGATTAGCGATTACACTCCTTGAGGCACCTTGAAATTGTTAAATTATTTGCAATATGTCCACTTGATAGTTCTGAGTTTTGTTCCCTTCTTTCTACTTTCTTTCCTTTCATATCAGGAATGAAAACTGCAATGCTAACTACACCACAGACTTCATCTTTAACCTGTACTCTGAAGAAGGCAAAGGAATCTTTGACTGTCGCAAGAATATCCTTGGACACATGCAGCAGGTCAAGGGGAATTAAAATGCAGTCTTATTGTAAGCCATGTTTTCCTCTTTCAGTCATGATTAATTAGTCCGTCCTATTTCAACTGCAGGGCGGCACTCCGACACCCTTTGACAGAAACTTTGCCACAAAGATGGGAGCTAAATCTATTATCTGGCTGACTTCGAAGCTTAAGGAGTGCTACAGGCATGGTAGGTTCACTTTTTGATGTCAACACAGATTTGCTAGTAGTTGATTAACCATTTTGTTGTTTTTGTTTAGTTTTTCACATAAGAATACACAATGTGGGTAAATGGTTGGAGCCAGTTGTTTTTATTTTAATTGAAAAGCTTAAAGGCAAATATGAACAAACCCACTTTTTAAGTGTTTTACACTGCAGAAATATATAAGAGCATGAACATGTAAAAAAACAATTGACAAATATCTGTAGGTAACCTGTTATCTACTACAATTTCTCATTTATATTTAAGGAAGCTCAGGATTTTTTCACTATTAAGCAGAAGGTCACACTCATCGCAAGCATAATTTTAAAGTGGAAGAGGAAATGAAGATGATGCAGTGGGATGGTAACAGAATAGAGTTCAGTTACAAAAATGTTTACTCTGAAAAAGATAAACTTATTAATGTTAGAGGAAATCTCAGAGTTTTGCAAAAATGTTGATATTTCTATATGATTCTGTTAACCTGGCAGTGGCCAGATTGATATGTATAGAACTGATGTTATCAATCTGGGGTGGCTGCCGTTCAGTCTGTCCATGAAAAGGAGGGACGTTTAGTACAATAATTTGAGCTGATTGGGTGACGTGCCAGCTACTACCCGCCTTCCATAATACGCTTTCGGCCAATCGTAGCAGCGAATCGTGCAGCTTCTTGAGTGTTTTCACAACTAGCGGAGTTAGCAGGTAAATCAAACTTTTTCCAAATCCTGTATCGAAAAAAAGGACAAATATCTTTCCCATCTACAAATGCACAAAGTGCTTATATTTGCTTCTTTTTTAAACAAGAAATTGTCGCTATTTTAGCTAAAACCAACTCAATTACGTTATCGACAGGTCTATCCTCCAGCGTAGCCATGTCTGTAATGCCCCAGCAAAGCCCTTCTGACTGTCATCATTCCTACATGTACATCCAACATGTCATTGGTCCAACGCGCTGGTTGTTATAAGACCGACAACTTTGCGGTAGTTTTTCAAAATGGATTTGTTGTGAGACTGAAAACTTAGATCTGGCGACGATTCAGCTTGCAGCACAAAGGTTATTATACTGTAAATTTACTGTAAATATTTTTTTCCAGTTATAAACAATATAACAGTGAATTTCAGTTGAATCTCCAAAGAAAAAAAATCAGTGTATCCTCAGCAGGGCCACAGGTCGGTCTCCTCCAAGCCCCATTAGATATGGCAAAAGGAGCCCAGACCAAGTATAGAGACACACTTTATAGCAGGGTAACATTAGTGACATTAAGAGTTTTTTTTTTTTCTTCTTATGGGATATATTTCAATTTTCTGAGAAACTATCATTGAAAATAATTAAAATGAATCAACTTTGAAAAAAGTAATCCTTATGGAGAAATATAATAACTTTTTGATATTTTGTCATTTAAATTATAATTATTGTGTTCTAATCAGTAGACATGGACTTGTATGGTTTGTAAACCACTACTTTGCGCTCACGCTGTGAGAGCTTTTTGGATTCATTGTTTGATTTTTGTGGCCCTCTTAGGTCGCATCTTTGCCAACACACCAGACTCTGCATGTGTGCTGGGCATGAGGAAAAGGGCACTCACCTTCCAGCCTCTTGCTGATCTGAAAGCTGACACAGATTTTGAGTAAGCCGCACAGCTGCCTTCTAAACTCAAATATTGTGCTGGGAAGAGCATCAGTTGTAATGACGGCTGATCCCTCTCCTTCTCTTCACCGCAGGCACCGCATCCCAAAGACACAGTGGTGGCTGAAGATCAGGCCCATCATGAAGATCCTGGCCAAGTATGACATCAAATTGGACACATCCGAACACGCTGACATGGAGCATGTGCTCGGCAAGAGAGGAGGCCACAAGTAGAATGAGCGTTTTTGTTTTGGAGTCGGTGGTTGGTTTAGGTATTTTCCTCTGTTCAGTTATTTGTTTTTAATTTTCAAATCCAACCACTTGTCTATGTGCCTTAATAAAAGAGCTGCTGACTTTACAGATATGTTTTTGTTTTGTTTTTAATTACATTTAGTGGTTCACTTGTGTCCACTAGTATAAAAAGATGTTTCTAAGTGACCAAATTATTGGGTGTGTCTGTATTTGCTTTTAACCCTATGGAATTGCAGATGTTCATAGGTCGTAATTTACATTTTCTGAAGGTAAACAATCTAGCATGCTGCCATAACCCTTTATATTAGAACCTTAAGCATTTTTATGCACTCAAAATATTACTAGCAGGTGGATTGCTCTTAACATCACAATTACTCATTAACTGACTGATAAAAAATTATTTACCAGTAATAGTAAGTTAAAGGGATAGTTCGGTATTTTTGACATGAATCTGTATGGCATCCCGATCACCAGCGGCATGCAATCACACTGACTTACCCCTGGCAGCGTCCTGTGAGCAGAGTTATCGTCCAGTTTTGGTCAAGCCGAAAGTAGTCCTGCAGGTTTTTAGGAACAGCGAAATAAAACTTTTCTCTTCCCAAAACATTATGTGTCCAAAAGAGTGATATTTTCGCATCCCAAAAACATTGTAGTGGAAAAAGTCACACGTCGTTATCAATTGGTCCTATTTTCTCTCTGTTCGTATCAGTGCGCGCCGTCATTCAGACAGCGAGCCCAACAACAGCCATGTCTCCTTCCGCGGCGGAGGGAGACATGGCTGTTGTTGGGCTCGCTGTCTGAATGGCATGTGTGCATAAGCGTATTGCAACGTTTACCACAAAGATTTCATTCACTAGTTTCACCATATATTAATGAAAATTGCTATTAAATTGCTATTGTTTATAGTTGGTGCTGTAATTGTTATCAAGCCAGTAGTTTTTAAAGAATTTTTAACCCTTTTTTTTTCAAAAGAAATATATAATTATCATTAAGTATAATATTTGCCAAAACATTTAAGCATTACATTTTTAACATGCTTTTCACGTATTTATTAAGAATTTTTACTTTCTTGTTGTATTGCAATACCAATGTTAAGAGAGTTCCCGTTCAGTTCCGGGGTTTATGTTATGAAGATAAAACTACAATAAAAAACTACAGGAAGCGGAAGAGAAAAAAAACGGTTTCTCCAAAGGTCAACGAGAACTCGCGGTGGTAGCCGGGACGTCGGCGGTCTGTGTGCTGAGGATAGGTGCATGTCCCCAGTGTCCGCTCCACTTGCCCGATAAGGAATGCGTCTTGCGAAGTCGCTTAGGGGTTTACCAACTGATAAAACTCCAGCGGAGACCCTGGTATAGAAGGAGTCATGTTTTGGCGTCGCTTCTACTGTTCTTATTCAAGCGTACGAACCTAATTCACTGAGCTAGCTTGTTAGCCCGCTTCGTTGATTCATAGCGCGCTAGCCTGCTAGCTTGGAGTGTGCTGCTGGCCCATCCAGTTCACCAGGAGACGAGCTCGATTCACTGCAAAACAACCGGTGTTCGGGAAGTAGGTGGCGGCGACAGGCGGGGGGCCGGGAGAACGCGACGGTGTGGAAGTGAGTCAGGAGCGGCTGATGAGTTCAGACCAGAGCGGAGAGCCACCGCTGCTGCAGGAGGAGGCTGATCCCGGACCGAAGAGCGGTGGGAAGGACGAGGCTCCGCTGGGGAGCGAGGGAGGGTCAGGCGGCATGGTGAGTGAGGCCTTCTTTAGCTTCTCAGTTAGCTAGCTAAGAGACTTGAGCTCACTCGATTTGGTTCTGACAAAACGCACCCTTCTTAGAAGAACATTTGATTGAATGATAGCCCGATCAGTTTTTGTCATTTCTAATTAACTTGAATATATATATATATTTTGTGTTATTTTTACACAGTGGGGGGCTTTTCATTCCAGTCGATCATATATATATATATATATATATATATATATATATATATATATATATATATATATATATATATATATATATATATATATAATCATTTCATCTTGTAGTGTACTAAATATATTACATCCAAGCTAATATTTAAGGATTTGTGTGAATTCTGGAGCACTTTTTATATGGGTAGTTTGGGGGTGTTTCTCCCTTGTATAACACCGTAGACCTGCTCGCGCAGAAGTCACATTTATCTGCTAAAATTAACCCGACCAAGCAACGTTACGCAGGTGGCGCATAGTGTAAACGTCTGTTTTTCCTCCGATTTCTCTTTTAAAACTTTTTGTTATTGCAACTTTCATAAGTCTCTAATGAAACAGACGCTGCAGGTTAAACATATGTGTGCAAGCCAGCATATGCAAATGTTTAACACTTGGACGTTAGCAATGCGGCTAGCTAACTGTAGCGGAGCCGCTCCGTTCAGCACTCATAAGTAGTTTGCTGAGTAATAATTAGCTTGTGACTTTTATTTTGGTGGAACCATATAATAATGGTAGGGAATACTTGAAGGACTGGAGCACATATTCAACTAATTCTTCATTGGTGCTTCGACTGTTGACCGAGTTACAGGTTAAACTGCTGTAATATTATCCCGGCTAATCGCTGTGCTAGCTAGCCTAGCAGAGCGCTGTAAATACATGGTTTGAGCTTAGCTGCGCAGTCAGCTGACTCTTGTAGGTTGTCTATGGCCTGCGACACACAAGCATGCATTGTGACCATGTTTAGAGTTGATAAATGCCCTTCCCTGTTGTGAGTGACAAAGGAGTCAGATTTTTTTATTATTATTATTTTTGGAGGGATGGGTGTTCCTCCTTTGCGTCAACAGGAGGAACACGGCTAACAGCGAGGTGCTGCTGTCACAGTGGACGGCCAAAGGTGCTGGAGGAACCAGCATCATGTGGTAGTTACAGGGATTACAAATTCAAAGAAATTATAGAAGCTGATACACCACTTCTCCCTAAATTATACTATTTAAACACAGATTGGTGATTTTATTATAATTTTTTTAGCTAACTGAAACAGATGTAAGCAAGTTTAACTTGTTTAATTGGAATTGGTCAATTTTGCAACCCTAAAGTTTGCCTTGGTAAGATGACATTTCCTTCTCTGGTCCCTCTTTAATGTTGTTCCACACACACACTATGACCTTTTGTCACCTTGGTTACTCAGGGTAAGGGAAGGCTTAGAATATATCACCCACTAGTTCCTGCGTCTCCAATAGTCCTTGTGGCCCATCTAGTTGACCATTGTTGATATTACAAGCAAGTCAGTATGCAGACCAAGTGCCACCCATCCCCCCTGCTGGCTTGTTATGAAGAATTTATTTTTTGTTTTTGATTATATTTTCAAAAGTTCATTATTGGTATGGCTGCATTGTGTGTATACTGCCCTTATGTCTGCTTAGGGTAGTTTATGCTGCTGATGGTGAGGGGCAAAAAGCACCACAGGAAATGCTACTTAGGCTACATTCACAATGCAGGCCTTGATGCTCAATTCTGATTTTTTTTTTTGTGAAATTCGATTTTGTTGCATTGCCGTTCACATTTCCAAATATATGCCACTTGTATGTGATCTCCTTTGCAAACTGTCATACTTACCTGACCGGGGGTGATACCTTGATCATGAAGGGGGTTCACCCAGAGTGGAGTCCTTGTGTTTTCCAAGAGGCAACCTCTAAAATATGCTGCTTTAACAGTAGACTTTCTTATTTTTGCCAGTCGGATATCTTCGTGTGGTCATAGGATCCTACCACCAATTTTAGGCCAATCAAACAATGGGAGTGGCGGCCTAGTGGTTAGGGCATAGAGCTTTGAATGTTGAGGTTGTGAGTTCGATCCCCCACTCCCACAGACTGCCACTCTGCGTCCTGAGCAAGACCCTTAACCCCACAAATGCAGAGAAGTAATTTCCCTCTGGGATTATTAGAGTATATAAAATACAAAAACGGAAGTAAATATTGATGTTGTGCTGGAGTGCATCTAGTGATCTTTCCAAACCTTAAAACCTCAATCTTTTCAAGATAGTAAAAAAAAAAATACTACTCTCCGCATCATTGTCTGCCATGGTGTTTGTTCTTCTTGCCTCTCCTGTGTAGCAAGAAGCAGAATAATGACCCATGTTGGTTACTGATGGCGATCAGGTCGGATGAATGTAACCTGGCCGTTCAGACAAAGGTTCGCATTTGCAAAGATCAGATTCGTATTGGATTCAGGACCACATAGCCAAGTGGCCTGGGTCGGATTGGAAAAAATCGGATCTGTGTTGTTCAGACTGCCATGAAACGATCAGATACAGGTCGCATATGGGCAAAATAAATCGGATCGGGTCACTTCAGGCTGTGGTGTGAACGTAGCCAAAGTTTTGAAGGCATGGGAGGAGTTTAAACTTAACTAAAAACAGTGCAGTGTCCATACTGCAGAATTAAAATTGGCATTCAAGATTAGCACACCCTTGATGCTGCAACCTCTAAGCAGGAAATGTCTACTGCAGCTTCAAGCCTCCACCAAGATGGGATCCCCCTCACCTCCATCAAGTCGCACATTTAATATCCACTCACTCTATAAATGCAGCCAGTGCTTCGTATAGAACAGAACAATAACAGCATTTTTTTATTTTCTTTCTTTTGCTGCTTAGTCTACAGGGCTCAACCTCAACTTTGCTTAAAGCAGAACTGTGTTTTCATTGGCAAGCATGGCGGCCATGTGGCCAATCACATGTACAGATATAGTATTGTACTATTATGTGAAAACAGATACAGGAGCAGGCGCTGCTTGCTTGTGTGAGAGAAGTGAGGAGAGATTGAGTGTGCCTGTTTGTCAATGTGTAGCACTATGAGCGACACCCAAGGCAAAGCTGCATTTGACTGCAGTTTAAAGATATTGGGTACAAAAAGCAGAGTTCCTTCACTGCAAAATGGAAACTTGAGAAAATGCAGCCTCTACCACAAACCTGGATTAATGTATTGTATAGGAAGTGCAACAATTAGAGGGGTATTAAGTTTTGCTTTCTGGTTTGGATTTCGTCCGTTTCAAAAGAAAAAAAAATGCAAATAATTAGCCAAATTGAAGACTTCTCTTAAAAATGCTGAACAAGAAAGTGTTTAACACATTCAAACCGTTAGTATTATGCAGTTAAG